AAACCTTTAAAGTTTTAAAGTTAAGAAAACAAACTGAAAATAAACTAAATAAAGTGATTTCATGCTCTCTGTATTTTTTAACAAAGGATATATTGTTTTCATTTTAATACATTAAAAAAGGAGACATAGTTATTTTATAAATGACTCTATCAGCAATCTGTGTGCCAGTATTCCAATTCAATCGCACTTTGAGATTGTAATCAGTGAAAAAAACAAAAACAAAAAAAACATTTAATAAAAGATGCAGTTTGGTCTACAGTCCACTGCTAATGTCAGTTTTCCTATGAACGCTAAATATATATTTAACCTTCTTTCAAGATAGTGCTTTTAAAAATAGTCTTGCCCTGTGGAGAGCTGCTGCAACACTGATGGGACTTATTAAGGGGGGCCCTGATGATATGAGGAAGCTTTTCAACATTTATGCTTGGTTTCCTTAAGCCAGAGTAAGATTGGCAGATAGACAGACGTTTAACTCTGCAATTGATTTCTGTTTGTCGCTGTCACGGAAAAGCATGCCGCCTGATTTTCAGCACTGGAGAGCGACATTTCAGCACTGGACAGCGCAACAGCAGTCCACACTAAACTGTCTGATCCCAGCATATCTGTGCCAGTCTGTTTGATGCTGGGCACTGGATCCTAACCTACACGACTTTCATGTGTGACCGTGTACCCACACAGACCAGGAAACACGAAACATCCCTGTTCACCGCGAGCAGGACGGGCCTGTAAAACACCTACAGCACTGCCAACGTCGAGGGCGGGGAGGTTCCTTATTAGGGAGGATGTATTTTAAGCTCTTAAATGCACAATAACAACCAAATATGGCGACAAATGTAACTCAAAGCCCAAAAAGAAAACACTAACAGGCACGACGACCCTGGTAAATGACAGGTAGTGTGTCGGAACCAGGCTGCTTCACCCTTAAAACTGCCTGCTATGCTTATGCTGACAGTGAAGGCTGTGGCGGCTACTTTTCCTCAGCCCACCCTTTCTCACCGTGCGGTCAAAAACAACAAAAAATGGACAATAAAGGTGCGTGAAGAAAGACATTTACATGCTTCATTTACCCACGAAGACCCAACAACAATGAAATGTGGTGAGATATACAGCTGTCCGCCCTCGCACTACAATCGACGACATACAGTAGGAGGCTAGGCTATCCCCACCCCCCGCTGTAGGTTGCAAACATCACGTAAACTAGGCCTAAGACTAATTCAGAGCTAATAATAACAGTCTTTGACAAGTATTATGGTGTATTCGTCGAAAATCGTCGAGGGTGTGTTCAACAGGCTATCCAAATAGTCTGGCGCTGGTCAAACAGCTAGTATGGCTCGTTCAGCGTTATGTCCTTGCTGTTTCTAGAATCGGCCAAATCGTCACCTGTGACTGGGCAAGGGAAGAATAATGCACTGGAAATGTTGAACAAGGGGACACAGCTTTAGAGAACACGACGTCTTTTCCCTTCTTAATATTATTATTAATAATAAGAAATAAATAAATGTATTTTAATTAGCCCGTGGGTATAATCACACAGACGGTGTCCTTTTCAAATCAAACCAGTCCAAACTGGAAAAAAATGCGTACGTGCTGGCTCAAGTCAAATGTAGCTCACGGCAAAAGAAAAAAAAACAACAACAACTAATAATAATTACAACAAGGAAAAAGACAGTCGACAAAAACGTTCACTGCACACACACTGGAAATAAGGCTAATAACGCGTTTAATAACAGTTAAACCCGACCCCACCGTCTGCTCTAAGGTTAGGCCGACGCGTTAGCCTCTTCACTTTTGGGTCATATTATCAGAAAGAGACAGCTGTGAAATGAGATCAAACTGCGATATTTCTCCATGATCAACACAACAGCAGAGATTAATAACCATCTCAGTTTATGACGGCTGAGGAACACTGTTCACACGCCACAAATCCCCACAAAGCCTCCCAAACACCAGTCGTGAGGACCAAATTGCAATTAAATAAATTCGGATTTGACAAAAAAAATAAATTAAAAAAAATCAGCGAGCTGTACTTACATTTTCCTGGTAGCAGGGAGACAGCTGTGCTCTAATCCGGACTGGAAATGTTAGCGCGTGCTAAGTGGCTGGCAGATGGATGTGGATGTGCCTTCTGCGCTCCTCTCTACCCTCTGGCAGCCTTTGGTTGGTTATTGTGGCGTTTGCCTGCCTATATATCCTAGGAGGAGCACTGAGTTTGAATCTGCCACTGAGAGGTGTCTCCTCGCTATATATTTCTTCTTCTTTTTTTTCTTTTTTAAAAATTATCTCTATGTCTACAGATTTGCGGCACCTGACAGGCTATTTACTAGAGCCCGGTGCTGTCGGAGACCGTGCTGTAATGAAGGTGTAATAACCCTCCGCCTGGATTAGGTGGACAAAGATGGCTCGGTGACGTCAATCGCGGCGACTTTCATGTTGAAATGGGTGGCCGGAGACTTCAAACACGCCATTTTAGCGCCCACAAAGCATCGTTTTCAACCGTGGGGGCTATTATTGGGGATCTGCTCGTGTTTCATTTAAATACATTGCATGTTGCGGTCACATTTGGGGTTCTAGCTCCTCAGAAAGGAGCTTTTTCTCATGGCGAGTCTGTCTGTCAACAAAATGGCGTTCCTCGAAAGGGGGTGTGGCGAGATAAGCAGTAGCCTAGGTTATCATTTATAGTAAATATGAATGTGGCTGTTAAAATATATATATATATATATATATATATATATATATATATATATATATATATATATATATTGTATAAAAGGCCCCAAAGTTCATAGAATAGTGTTACTGGTGTTTATAAGTTTATATAGGTTCATGTAATGTTCAGTCTTCTGTCAGTTTGGGCCAGCCGTGCCTATCTTCGATATCTCCACTACACACACACACACACACATATATATATATATATATATCAAACTGGCATAAATCTGCATTGTAATAGCTTTGATACTGTAACGTGTATATGTACAGTTCATGTGTGACAGGCTGGTACAAGCTTGACCTTTGTGGACAGTTCCTACATCCCAAGGATGATTAGTAGAAGTTAAGTAAAACGAAAGGTCAAGCAACAAAAAATGGTTTTGAAACATTATTTTTCTGCAGCCTTTCTTTTTATTTTATCGTGTTTTGTAATGACTTCATAATAATGAAGGTTCTAATGAAGGTCCTAATTGGTCCTAATTGGACCAACCATCACCATGATGGTGATGGTTGGTCCAATTAGATCTTGATGACGTAGAATTACACCTTAAGGAAGTTTAAAGGTCAGCCTTTAAAAATAGTTATTGTTTGTAGGTCTTGAGAGCTCTTGACAGCTGCCCCAAATGTATTACCTTCAAAGATGTTCCAAGTTGAAGATGATAACGAGGCAGAGTTCAATTAATGTACTATAAACCCTAAAAGAGTGGAAGCTGCTCTCGCTGCTGCAGGATCAACACAGTGTATGGAAATCAATGTGCCTTAATTATGTTTTACCTTTGGCTAAAAAATATATATCTATAGTGTTTCCATTACAATCTGTGTAATGAACAACTGTGTTGCTGTGCAAGACTGGGGGCATCCTTGGTAAAATAAATAACACAAAGCGCAGTTAAATTTAATATGATCCTATGTGACACACCAATGGGCTTGTTCTGCTGCATTAATAAACCACACAAACTGAAATACCTTGCAAGACTAAACAAATGTAAGGTTGAAATGGTGAAAAACAGCCCGTTTTCTTTAATTCTCTGCGTTGGGTCCGTTGATAAGGTTCAATCATGATAAAAATGTCACGCTAGAAGAAAATTTAACAAGACCATGTAAATGTGCACTAGATTGCTTGTCTAAAATTTGGCAAATACAACTTATTATGGTGTTTGGGGTTACTGTTACAGAGCTGAAGAATCCTCTTGTTAGCCTGCAGCATATTCTCAGAGGAGCTGTAGGTGCTCACACTCAACCACTTGGTGGCATCAAAAGGCAGCGTTACTTCACTGCCCACCCCCTCACAGGCTAACTATGCACTGGTAACTATCCCCTTCACAGTGATGACCTCAGTCACGATGTGGAACATGTTGTACAGCTGGCACTCAATAAAAAATTGAGAAAACCCAGCTTGTTATTATGATGTTTTGTTTTTTCATTTCGTATGTATAGAAAGCTTTGAGACCTGAACACAGCTAATCAGCTGATGACGAAATAACACCTTTTTTTTAAACTGTGCAGCTTAAGTTGTATTTGTAGACTTAATAATATGTTTGTTCCTTTTGTTAATTCTTGAAAAGACACAATTTAAATCGGCACGGATTTTCTACGTGTTTGCTTCCAGTACACCATACAGCAGATTTCACTGTCAAGCCTTACCTTTAGACTTAATTTTGATATCTTTCAAATGCACATTGGCTTTAATGACTTAAGAACTAAACTGTGTCATTTATTTGCACACTCATAAATATATCCATCCATGGAGTGACATGTTTTAATTTCAGTCTGTACGCGTTTGCTGCCAGGAACTCTGTGCAAAACTGAATTGGAATGAAATTCATTGTCATGTACAGCCTGTAAGTGTTTATCCCACAGTGTGGATGAGGGACGAATTGCAATGTGGTTGATACAGGTGCATTGCTCGTATCCTACCATTCAGACATGCACGCCTTGATCTATTATTGATGGCAGCCCTGAGCTATGATGCGCTCTTAAATATTCAGGCAGACATGACCCTTTTGCACCCCCACCCCGCCACCCCTGCACTACATCTAAGACCAAAATGTTAAGAGAGATTTGAAGTATGTGTTACGTCTGCCCTGTTATGCTGAACCAATTTAGGCAGAAAAAGTCTAGATGACACCGAAACAATAAAGACTAAACCTCGACTTTTATATTTCGGTTCAAAGACACCCTTTCATGTTTGTGATCCAATGAAGGGAGATGACCTAACGACAAGCAAACTGTCAAAATAATTCCACGAAAGGTCTGAGAAACAGCTTTTAACGTAAAACACATTCAAAGACTCAATTGCAACAGAGATGGGAGATTTATTCTTTTGTTTCAAAGTGCCTTTTCTAGTAACATATGAGGTATACATTTTTGCGAGGCTCTAATGATTCAGCGAAGGGTTTTCTGTGACAAACAATGATATATGGCACTACACTCACAGCATGAACAATTTCAGGATGTGCCTGTTAAAACTCAGTTACGTCAGAGTGAGCATTTCATTCACAGTTATCGCCCCGTTTTGCTTTTTTTTACTTTCCAAATAATCCCAAAGATGTGCGGCACCAAAACTTCACCAGTTAGTCCCTGAAGCACAAAGTGTCTAAACAGCCAAAAAAACCATCCCTGGTGAGGCTCTCGACTCTCTGAGATAACCCTGTCTACATATTGCTTCTTTTTAAAAACGCAATAGTGCAAAAAAATCTCTGTGACAATTAACATTTACCTAAAAGTAAGCCCACAGACATGTGGGGCATTGCGTAAAGGAGTGATATTGCACTGCTATTCGACAAAAAGAAGGTATCATAGTGGTGCCAAACATCTTTCAGTACACCCATGACACAGGCACCCACTGAGGGGTGGACGTGGCCCGCTCCATGGCCTCCTCCACACCCTTAACACTTTCATCCACGTCGTTGTTGATGAGAACCACATCAAAGAAGTGTCCATATGTGCTCAGGATGGCGTCTGACTCTTTCTGGATCATCTGCAGATTTTCCGTCTAGGAGAGGAGATATAGATGATTAGCAGTTTGTGGTTGGGAAATTTGGGGATTTTAAAACACTTGGATAAGATGTAGTACCTGGGGAGCGGTGTTGGTCGGTGCAATGAAAACTACCAGAGGTGCAAAATCAGCTGTCCGCAAGAGTTTCAAGGTCTGCAAGAAGGATTTAGTGGTAGTTTAGAAGCACGTACATCAGTGGGACAGCTTATGTTGAGCAGTTTGAAGAAGAATTTGGAGAGGCAAGGCGGAGATGGTTTAGACATGTGCAGATGAGGGAATATGGATATTCTGTACAAGAAATGTTGAATATGGAGCAGTGTGTCTACTATCTATGTGTTGGTGTTGTTCCTGTATCATCACAACAACGTTAGTTTTGAATCAGCGTCGCAACTGAGCAGTTACATTGTTGTGATGTCATTACACTGCAAGGTGGACTTTCAAGTTTGGTTTGCTGTTAGACAAATTTAGGTTACTCACGTTGCTTCACCAGTGATAGTTTTTAAAAGCATAAGCTAGCTTCTTGTCTAATGCTAACTGAATGCTCAGACAACGTCATTTGTCAGTTGCGATGTTGATCCTGAACTAATGTTTTGATGATGTAGGAACAATGACAGCTTCGTCCAAGATGGGATATCAGATCATGTAATATGAAGCTGCCAGGCAGAAGGAAAAGAGGAAAACTATAGAGGAGATTTGTGGATGCATTGCAGGAGGACATGCAGAGGGTTGGTGTGACAGTGGAGGATGCTTGGGATGGGGTGAAATGGATTCAGATGATCTGATGATCGGCTGACCGCTAAAGGGAGCAGCCGGAAGAAGAAGAACTGATGAAGTACAGCGCATTTCACACATTTGATACTTTAAACATCCTCTAAACAAGACAAGATAAAGGCAAATATGAATTGTTTTTGCAGTGCAAGAGACTGACTCAAAGCACAGAAGGAGCAGCTTTTCCTTCACTTGTTAGCCCAGTTTTATTTGAAAAATAATTTGAAAAATGAAATCGTTATAAAAATCATACGTTTACCTGTAAGGAGTGTGAATTTCATTCAAAAAGATGCCTTTTGAGTCATTATTTAACAAAAGGGGATTTTAGGGGATTTTTAATAACTACTTCAGTCTAGACTATCCTAAAATATACCACATTATCACTTCTATACACTGTGCTGCATGAATATGAGTACAAAAGCAACTCACTGCAGGAGAATATAAAATTATCATCTTTGGTTTGTCAAAGGTGGATAGTAGGTTTAGCAAACACAGCTATAGCTACTGAAACAATAGCTAATAATATGACTGCTGAATCTGCACCATATTACTTTAACAATGTGGTTAGGTTAAAGGGCAAAAAGTTAGATTGGATATGCATTTTCTTTCCATTTGAGTGAAGCTAATTCATGTAGGTGAATATCTCAATTCTAAAGAACTTTAAGAAAACAAAAAAGCTCTCAAATTAAGCATAAAAACATTTAGTGAGTTTATGCAACTCTGAGAAATGGTAAAATAGCACTCCAGGGCAGACACAGTATTCTTTATTTAGATCAACTGCGTTGATGCTACATGAAAAGAAGTTTGGCGCTAACCTGTGGTTCTATATCCAGCAGAGCGATTTTGCCCTGCGTGTGGATCTTCTGAATGGTCTCAATTTTGGTGCCAAACATGAAACCCTGGAAGCTGCCATACTCCAGCAGCTCATTTCCAGAGATGCTCTTGGTCATGGCTTCATGGGAGATGAAGTAATATTCCTTTCCATTCTCTTCATCCTTACGTTGGGGTCTGGTGGTGTCTGCGCAAGCATGAGAGTTAAGAATTAGTGAGAATTAGCCCACGGATGGTAACAACCTGCACCACGTTAGAGGAATAAAAAGGCCATCAGTCTACTTACGTGGTGAAGGGTATGAAAACTTCTCGGGGTATCGTGTCAACAGTGCATTCTTAATATGACTCCTTCCAACACCAGGTGCCCCTGAGAAAAAAAGGCAGAATTAACAAAACAGTGCTAATTTTTTAAGGAAATTTTAATCAGACCCAAACTGTGCTAACTATGCTTTCATTACCGTTGATTAAAGATATACTTATATGCAATTTCAATGAAGACACAATCTATGTTATTTTAACTTCTTGCTAAAGCATATTAAAGTTACTGTTACTTAACACATGTGGGCTAAAAGTGTAGGCTCTCAGCTATTGTAGTCCACTATTTTACAGGGAATCAGAGCTAACTGGACTCAAGTGACTCAAAACGGTTTGATAGACACATCTGAGCTATTCCTGTGTTATATCTCATTAATTTAAGCAGGCAAATAGTCTACAGCCGATTCCAAGTATGGCATCTGTTTTTGGAATTTACTGTTGTGAATCCACAGCATATATTCAAAAGGGCTCTCGATGCAAGTAAAGCAAGACATCCTTACACATCAATAGCAGTAGCATTAAGCGTGGCCTAACAGCTCTCACAACAACAACAACAAAAAAAAACCCAGACCATGCTGGCAAAATGCATCATTAACAGACCTGGCAACCCATTAAAGAAAACAGTGGTGAATAATCACAGGATTCTTTTGATGCTAAAGACAAAAAAGCTGCACAGCTGCGCACAGCTGCAGTAAAAGTCTGACAAAAAATCGCAAACAAAGAAAATTTATTCTTTAGTTATGATCATGGGTTCCAGACTTCAGGCCTTCATTGCCCACAGAGGATTCTGGACAATGTTTTAACAATGAACATCTTATTATTTCTGAAACCCAGGAAAAAAGTGACTGATCTGAGGACTGTGCACATTTTCTGCATCTTGCTTGTTTTATTTCCTATTGCGGTGATGTGGAAAGCAAAAGGCAAAGGTTACAAACTTATAATATAACTGAGCTAGGAAGCTTACCAATAAGGACCAGTGTTTTCCTTTGAAAAGCTGGGAGCCGAACAACCTCCTCATAAGAAATCACATCCAGCTGGTCAAAAACTGCAGAAGAAGATTATTTTAGGTCGCACTAGAGAAGAAATGAATGAAACTGTGGGACTGAGAGTTGCAGTGTTCTACTTACTAGAGCTGTGTTTAGCTAGGTACTTGTCCTTGCACTTCTTTTTCTTTCCAAATGGACTGCAGGACTGAGTGCCCTCTTTGGCCTTGCTTTTACTGGCCACCCTCCTGCAGGGAAAACAGGTATTTAAGTTAGCCTGAGAATATCTGGTACAGTTCACTCTGTATTATAAATCAGCCACGACATTAAACCAGCAAACCTAGATCGTGTACATCCCTAACATGATGTCAAAAGCGCTCTGACCACATGGGGCATGGAAACTGCCATTCTTAAGAGGATCTTGTGGTTTTCTATCAATAGATCCTTGGGGTCCAATGACTTGAGAGTTTGGGTTTTGATGGACTGAGCTTAGCCTGGCAGAACCCGTGAATAATTGTTTTGGTTGAGCTTTGGGCAGTTTGAAACCCAGTCAATCTGGACCAGTTTTATTCTGGTGGTGGGGTGCACTGTACTGTTTGGAGAATGGAGATGCCAGGCAGGACACTTTCCAAACAGAACATTGCAGTAATGGCAGGTATGCCCCTCTCTGAGGCTGGAGGTTTCTTCCTGTTAAAAGGGAGTTTTCCCTTCCCACTGTTGCCAAGTGCTTGCCCATAGGATGTCATCTAAATGCTGGCGATTTCTCTCTATTATTGTACCTTACCTTACAGTTACGTTAAAATATAAAGTTATTTAAAGCAACTATTGTTGTGATTTTGGCGCTATATAAATAAAATACAATTGGATTGATTTGTGATGTGATTGGTATATTAAAGAGTTTACCATTCTTGGAGCTCTGGAGAAGGTATGAGTCCAGCAAAGTCAGTAGCACTGCTCTCCACTCTGCCCTGCCACCAGTTTGGATCCTGCTTGTTGATGATCTGAATGATGTCCCCAGTCTGAAACTTCAGACCTGCCTCTTTGCATGGGATGAGGTCATCTGTGGCAGGGTCATAATTGAACTGAGCCCTCATGTACATCTGGAGATTGTGAACAAATCTTATTAGTTCCCCTGGCAGTAAAAGAACTAAAGATTTACAGTTGGCATTATGTAAGGTACTACTGATAACCTGCTGACCTTACCAGAGTGTTCAGTTATCACCCAACACTTATTTAAGGTCAGCCGGGAGTAAAGTTCTAATCTGTAGAACTTAATAGTTTATCTGAAGTCTACGATTCTGTGATTCTACTGATAACTGTGAATTCACCCTGAAGTAGAATACTAGTAAACAATTTCATGATATGATCTTGGACAGCTCCTTTCAAACTGTGGACATGGCTACATTTCTAACCAAGGGACAAGGTCTACTTGTGCGAATAAATAACTGTAAATAAGTAACTGTTTGTTACTTTTTATATCTCAGGTTAAAATCCAAAGGGTGCAAACTATGAGGAAACTGTCAAAGATCATAGCAGGAACACATGTAGGGTCCCCTCAGCGTAAATGATTACTAATGTTAGTAGAGTCCATGAACATGTATTTGTGGTTTCCCCAAGAGACTCCAGTAGAAGTTTACACAAGCTTACACCCCAAAATGTGCACAAACATTGATGCACTGGAGTGATCTGGGTCACCAAAAATGCTGTTCTCTGTATGGAAAGCATATTAACAATGCCTACATATTAATGCAGTGCAATCTTTAAAGTAAACTGCCATCACTGACCACAACAGGGACGAACTTTAATGCTGAAAAAAGAAATATATGTCAATTCTTTTAAAGCTATTTTAAGTTGATGTCATCTGTACTTAAAAGTATGTTACAGGGCAGCCATTTTTATGCCACAAGAAAGATGTAAATGGAGAGACATGCTGTGGTCACTAGATGGCAGAATGAAACACACTACCAATGTGTTTCATGTCAAAAAGCAACAATGAGTGATGTTCTTAACATTAAAGCTAGGTTTATAGTCACCTGGTTTGTTCACTGACTAACAGCAGATTCACCTAAACAAAATCATTGTAAGCAAGTAAGATGCAGAAGAAAAAGACTGCGAGAAAAGTGACCAAACTAATACTTGACTGTGCTCTAATATGACCAGAAAAGCCTGCTTTCCTGGATTCACTCATGCAAATCTCAAAAGTCTCTTGGAGAGAATAAATATGAATCAAATTATTCAACATAAGCATCACAACACTAAAGCTGTGCATAGTCTGTCGGTCGTATCGTTACCTCGCAGATTCGGGATCGACTCTTCATGTTGGGTATGATTTTCATCGTGACGACTCCATTGGTTTCTCTCTGTATGTAAAATAGAAATGGATTTATGTTTTTATAGCACTGCCGAGTTAAAATGAAGTGCAAAAACTGTGATTCAGTATAGCTCCAAACATAAATGGAAGGACTTAAGAGCTGGTGGTTTACCAGGATCTTTTGTAGCTGATCTACAGTTTGGTTTGTCACAGTTTTTCCATTGATTTCTGCTATTTCATCTCCTTCATGTATAGACCCTGGAAAGACAAAGAATGCAAACTAGATGTCTTACTGATCCTCCAGTACTATAACAACTAATCAGGACATCAGATAAAACTCCCTCGTGACACACTATATTAATATCTTTTCTTGCACAATTCCTGCAAACTGTAAAAAAACAAAACAAAAAAACAAAATGTGCTGAATCACCTTGTCTGTGAATCATCCCTCCATGCAATATCCTGGCCACCGTGCATCGCTGTTTCTCGTTCAGTTTCAGAGTGACCCCCTACAGACACAGACCACAGTCAATGAGGAGGAATCATTTCTTTCAAATTTAAAGCAGGAGTACTGAGTGAACAGTCGAGGCTGATTACATACCATTGGCTCTGAAGCACTCTTTTCAAACGCCACTTCTTTCATCCTGGGAACCTCTGTGCAATTTCTGTGTCCAGCACTGCCGTTGGTATAAAAGTCAGCCCCCTGATTCTCAAAGTTTTGCATAGCTGCCTGTTAAAATGAAGAAAGAAAACAAATGAATCACATGACATCACAGGAAATGAAATTAACTAAAGAACAAGAAGCCTCCCATTATACAGGGAACCGAATTCACTATTCTGTCAGATCAGATCATTAGCTTACTGCTCTTTCTAATAACGGCGGCGGACACTTTCTGCCCTCGTGAGCACAACAGCTACGTTTCCTTTGCACTTTCAACATATGTTCAAAGTTGAAAATTAACCAGACATTAAAACACACTTCATTAACCACGTCCACTCATCTGGTCCACCAGGTTCGTGTGGTCATGGATACCAGCAGTGTGATGAACAAAGCACTGATGTAGCAAAACGAATACACTACGAAGCATGCTGCTTGAATGTTTGCTACAGAAATCAAATGTGTAGATTTGTGCTATTCTTTTACACCAAAAGCGTAGCAGGACAACCTCGTCTGAGTTATTTCCCGAGTGTAAGCATCGCCGTAAAAGAAGAAATCCACGTAGCTCCCCTGACAAATCAAGACACTACGGAATTACATTAAATCTACTGAGTACAAGATAAGATACCACGTAATGACTCTGTGAGAGTAAAGTGCCCTCCAGGATCGGGCAATGAGTGCACCATATCAAAGCTTTTATAATTTGTTCACTTAACTGACATCAGAGAGATGATTGCCTGCATCAGCAAACTTTCTTGCGTGAATATGACACATCAGCACTGCTTCAGCAAAAAAAAAAAAAATTATCTACCTTCCATCATCAGCATTACAATAATCCAATCGTTATCACTGTCCACCTCACCAATAGCTTTAGCTGCTCTAAAGCCAACTCTGGGTTTAGAAACTACTCCTGCACTGATGAGCATCCAGTCAGGTCACTTCTCTGTGAGGTGTGATAGTAATTCATCAGCTGTGTGTGCTGTTAGCCATCGGGAGTGTTGAGCACCAGGAAAGAGTGAAAAGCTGTATAAGAAATAAATAAAAATCTTGATATTCCGATACACGATATGTATCTTCCCTCTCATTTCTTTTCACACACAAAAAAGAATCTGCAATAATGTCCGCTTACTCACAAATCAGCTGAACGTGTCTGAAGAAAGGAGCAGAAATGTCTCTGATCTCTTGAGGAATTAGATTTAGACTAGCACTAAAGGGTCATTTTAATAAAACCCACCTCATCAAGATGTTGACAGTGAGCTCTGTCAGCTCCACCACTTGGAGTGTAACAAGATCAAGATTTAATTAAAGGTTTGAGAAATGCTTCAGTAACTGGAAACAAGCTATCCTTCAACAAGTATGGTCAGGTCATGGCCACAGTTTTAATGCTGGTTTCAAGTTTGGAGGAGCATCATGGTAAAGAAAGAGTGTTCAAAGCGGCGGCTTGTCTCTTCAGGGTGAAAAACAGAAGGTGACAGGCATGTAGAGGAAGACCATCCGTGCCGAGATAAATTAATTCACCATAAAAATCTATAGCAGTAGTTCCATTTGCTTTTCTGCACACAGTTGGGTTACTAATATAACACAGAATAGTTGATTATACTTTATCTTTCTTACATGATCTGCTGTTTTTAACTAAAGGAATATAAATCATCAGCCCTCCCCAATGAAGGGTTTACAGGTTTTTGTTTTCCTTCTATTGATCTCTTGGAGAAACACAGTGGGAGATTAATAGTTGACATTTGAACACTGTGTGGTTAATGAGCTTTCCACAAAAAATGAGAAAAAAAAGGAGGAAAGAACTGCCAAAAGTTCTGCGTGTCCCACTTATCAACTTGCCTCAACTTGCCTTAAGACCTTAAATGCCTTATTGTCTATCTAAGTAGGGCAGTACACAGTTATTAAGCATGAGATATTAGAAGCATAACTCAGTGCAAAGGAGCAAAAAAAAGGGAAAAAAAGTAAGAAAGAAAGACACAAAATATGATTAATCAGCCTTAAACACACCATTTAAGATAATGCCCTCGTGACCTCAGTTAGAGACATGCTGATTAACACAGATCAGAAAGATATGTAGGCAAGATTGCAACTCAAGGCTATTGAACTGCAAACTGCTGATGTCAGGAATAAAGTTTCCTCTCTTTCACATTTCCCTCAGTGGCTCAGTGCTGACTTTTCAAATTCTGAGAAGGCACCGGTCTCCTGCTGGAAATCAAATCCAGGTCTAAAGTGTGCCAGAGATTTAACTCTGGCTTTCTCCCTTCCGACATATTCTAAATGTTTTCTGGGACATCTTTTCAGTCATACTTGTTAGCTTAGTCTTTGTTAGAGGCAAAGACAGTATTTTCATGACATACTCCAGGATCTTTAAGGGGAGGAAAATGCAAACAAGTTTAACAGTGTGCTTGGCAGTGTGGTGTAAACAACTTTTACTTGACTGATTCCTGAGCAGAGGCTCAGGGTAAGCTGTAAGCAAAATTACACAATATGTTTCAAAACTGTACAAAGGCACAGTCCCAGAAACGACTTCACAGCTGACATGTTACTTCTTTGTGATCTTATTGCCGCTCTTAAATGCGTTCATATCACTATAGCCCAGCTGGTTAGTGAGACAGTTCATACTACTCTGTGAAATACAGGAACATAGTCTTATGATGGCTAAAAGAAAACCAACAAAAAAAAAACCCCTTCCCTAATGTTTTCCCCGAGTTGTCAAAATACTTGCGTGAATTTGTGAGAAATGGAGAACTGAAACTGCCACAGCAATGTCTGCTGATTTCAAGCTGAGGCTGACCGATAGTGCTGAGCAATGAAGAAGCTGCTAACACAGTAAAGATCTAAATGTTCTTTGTTTAAGAGATCAACACATTCAGCTGCTGCAGTATGAAAACATAAACGGGTCTATTCTTAGAGATCTTGTTCGGAAATAAACAACGATCACATGTCCCCGTATCTGCTTCCCGGAAGCAAATAAGAACAGCGAAATCAGAGGGGTCTAAATAAATTAATAAGGTATATATATACAAAAAAGATCATCTTACCTTGTCAGACTTTGGTTTGTTTTGAAGGAGCTGTTCCAGGTAGAGATCGGAAAGGGCTGTCCGGACGCTGTTCACGGACTCCAGTGTGACAGTGGGATCGTTTTTATTGGATTTTAACGTCATCTTTCCCGTTAGATAAAAAAAAAACATACACAGTGAACTCGATTTGCCCCCTCGATCAAAGTCCTCAAGACACTGGCCACAAACTGCTGATAAGGAGTGACTATGAGATAAGTCACTGTCGGAGATAAAAGTCCAAAGATGTGATCAGCAGTAGGTGAGGTTCATGCGATAACTACTGCAGGGACACCGCTGACAAAGCAAGTAAACATGCATCTGACTGCTGCTGTGCTCTGAGGGGCTGGCTGCTGATGCGTTCAAGTTCCCCGTGCGAGCTCAGGAATCTCATTATTAAATTTATTATCACAAAATGAGCGGAAATCAGAGAATTACAAACGATAATGTAGCGCTTCTTATTGTTATTTTCTTTGGATATTTCTACGTTGGCATCGTATATCCCTATTGATCTATAGGCTTTCTCTAAACTGCGATGTTTATTCAAACATCATCTACCTATGTGTCACAAAAACCCTTTTAAAGATTCTTTGTTTATTTTTCGTTTTATTTTTTTAAAAAGAGTACAAAAATAATTCAAAACCGGTGCTAAATAAGCCTTTGGAATCTGATGGGCCAACACGGAAATCAATTTCCATTTTGAGCCCCACAAAATGCTAAATGTCCCACAGGCGGAGAATGCAACATTACCGCAGCATTTTCAGCAGGGCTACCCTCTCAAGCTACAGAGAAGCAAAAAATAACGTAGTCCCGGTGATTCCAGCAGCTAGCTTGCAAGAACTTCAGTTTGGAACATAGTGTACCCAGCTGCAGTGTGATAGTCTCTCTGTGCTAATTTAACAAACAAACAAAAAATAATCAGTGGGAAAGTCGAGTGATCCTATTACTGATACATTACTGAGTGATTACAGATGACATCAGTGTTGCAACATGCACACTGCATGTGATTAGGTTTAATACAGTGCAGCTGTGGGAGACTGTGAGCAGGAAGCCCCGTCCTTAAATGGCCTGTCTATTTCCACTGTGTACTCATACAACATATACAAGCATGTATGCAGTCTTTTTGACAGGTGAACTGAGGGCTGGTTCACAAAAACACATGGATTTCATCTCCTTTACTGTTTTAATGAACTTTAAATAGATTTATATTACACCGCTTTCAATTCAATTCAGTCTCATTTATATAGATAACAAATCACTATATCTCAAGGAGCTTTATATTGCAAGTAGACTACAATAATAAATAGAAAACTCGAATAATCAGAAAACCCCCTAGCAGCAAGTCTTGGGTGACAGTGGGAAGGAAAAACTCCCTTGCAAAAAGAAACCTCCAGCAAAACCAGGGAGGGGTAGCCATCTGCCGTGAAGAGAGCAGAGAGAGGATAGCACAAAAGACACACATGGGAGACAGCCAGAGTTTAAAATTAACGATGAAATACAACATGGAGAGTGAAACAGAAGTGAGTGAAGAAGGAACAATCAGTGGATCATGAGAAGCCCCCAGCAGTCCGGAGCTATTGCAGATTAACTAAGAGAGGGTTCAGGTTCACCCAAACCAGCCCCAATTTGTTGAAATAGGAACATTTTAAGCCTAATCTCAGAAAAAGAGAATGTGTCTGTCTCCCAAATGCAAACTGGGAACTGATTCCACAGAAGAGGAGCCTGAAAGTTGGCTGAATCTTCTTCCCCTTACCGCCAACCAGTCATGGCAGATGGCTGTCCATCTCTGAGCCCAGTTCTACTCCATTTAAAGGGAGTTTTTCCTTCCCACTATCACCAAGTGCTTGCTCACAGGGGGTCATCTAATTGTCGGGGTTTTCTCTCTATTATATGGGGTCTTACCTTACAATATTGGTACATAATGGTGCTATATCAATAAAGCACAATTGAATTGAATTGAATTGAATTGAACAGAGAGAATAGCCCTGTACACTCAGAATTCATCCTACTGCTTCTATCAGCTGTCACATCATGATACCCAGCTTTATTCATTTGTGAAGCCAGAAGATACAAATCAACTAGCTAAACTATAGACATCTCTTAAAGATATAAAGGTCTGGATGACATCTACGTTCCTTCTTCATACTTTTCTCTTCTGATCATTCTGATACAAATTAATCCTGGTTTTATCCATAATTTTTTTTTATTCATTTATTTTTCAAAAATATATATTTCAGATGCTTCCTGGCAAAGAAGATGGGAAATTGTCCTTAAAAGGTGTGTACTTCTCCACAATGGAAATCTTACAAACTGGAAATCCATCCATCCATTTTCTTCCGCTTATCCGGGGCCAGGTCGCGGGGGCAGCAGCCCAAGCAGAGAAGCCCAGACCTCCCTCTCCCCAGCCACCTCCTCCAGCTTGTCCAGGGAAACACCAAGGCGTTCCCTGGCCAGCTGAGAGATATAATATCTCCAGCGTGTCCTGGGTCTGCCCCAGGGCCTCCTCCCGGGACCAGACAAAGAGTGATTCAGAGGACCCCTATGAAAAGACCATCGAGGGAACAGTTCACCCTGCCCGGGATAGGGTTAGCGGGGCCCCGCCCTGGAGCCACGCCCGGGGAGGGTGCCCGAGGGCGAGCGTCTGGTGGCCGGGCACAGCCCGAAAAAGGGGCATGGGCCCATCTTCCTGCAGGCCCACCACCCGTAGGAGGCATGTAGGGGTCGGGTGCAATGTGAGCCGGGCGGCGGCCAGGAACAGAGGTCCTGGCGGACCGATCCCTGGCTACCAAGACTGGAAATTAAAAGATTAAATTAAACCATATTAGACTTTCCAATCATTTGAACCATATAGAAGTTACCAGGCTATTTCATAATGTGGAATATCACGATAATAATTTCATGTTATTCAAAAGTTTAGATGGATAGTGAAGGCTGATGGGTTTGCAGTGTTGTGGTGGATTGTGGTAAGTTAGGTCGTGGGTAACTACAGAGATATTATAAAATAGAGAGCAGTGAAAGAACTGTGAATTGTATTGGAGACCTTTGTGACAGCAAAGATGGTGATAAAAGTTTTAAAAGTTTATTTGAGGACAACATCAGAAAACATTTAATTTGATCAAATTTGACTTGACATTATATGCAGTTTTTATTTCATTAAAATAAAAGTTAAATGAAAGTGCCCAGATGTTTCGGCATGTCTGCTGACTAACGGAACTTGCTTCCAGAAGGAGTCAGCAATCCGAATATAAGAATTCCAAGTTTGACCTTCATCCCAGCTGTTTAGAGTCGTGTCCCATCTGTTGTTTCTGTGTTGGGCTAAATAGTGATTTCTGGTGTTTCTGTGTGTTTTTTTTATGTGTGACATCTTATATTATTAAATAAACTGTAATCAACAGGATTTATGAAGGGTTATTATATTTTTAAAAAGGACCTGTTTTTAAGGGTTTTTTTTTTTTATGTCTCTGCAGTGTTGTACCCCATTATAATCAACCCAGTCCTTTTTGACCACTCAAAATATCTTTATAAAACGATTCTTTTTTTTTCTTCTTTTTTTTTTTTACATTTATTTTTATTTATTTTTTTGCAATTCCTGCCCTCTTGGGCTGATCTCTCTTAAAAAGCCATTTTTAATGTCAGTGATTTTTACTGGAATAAATAAAAGAGTTATAAAAGTATTTTTAACAACAAAAAAAAACAAAAAATAAAACAACAACAAAACAGATTGCGGCTTCTACATTGTGGCAGGGATATTGTTTCTGGCTCAAAGTGACTTGATATCATTCATGAAAGATATATTTGACATATGTTTCACAGATTATAGGCCAACAAGTTATTTACAACAGTTTAAATACGGACAAAAGTTATTTGGCAAATACCGGAAATCACTTTTTGGAACTTAAAGTTCCCCACCTGCCAAAACCCTCTTGTATATGCAAAGTATAAACAAACCACGAGCTGCCAACTCTTTATTGCGTGGCACAAAAAAAAACGTGTAGTAAACAGGAGGCAAGGAAATAGGTATTAAGCCAGCTAATGAGTTTAAGCTCCCCGATGGAGTGCCAGTTTCAACTCCAGAGGGAGCCAGCAAGCATGTTTCTATCAGCTGTCCACTCACTAACATGACCCGGACTCTTACAGGTCGGCAAGCTACATTTGGGCTTCATTTCTGTTTCTCCTGCAGATATCCATCAGGTTCATAAAAAGGCTTCCTATCGCCGAGCTAGAAAGTAATCTTTAAACGCCACATTTATTAAAGGTGGTAAACTGTGCCATCAAAAGCTCTGCCATTTAACACAGATGCCCATCCATCCAATCTTTTCCGCTTATTCAGTTCAGGGCCACCGGGGTCCTGAATCCTATCCCAGCCGCCAGGGGACTGTGGGTTATGATAAGTAAAAAGAACTTCGTGTGTTTAATTCAAATTAAAGTGTGTAAAGACGGCGGGGAAGCAGATCCGGGTTCTCTGATGTGGTTGAAATCCAGAAGATGGCAGTAATGCAACTTCACTGATGGTTACAAAAGAGAAAAGCTCAAAGAAGAAGAAGAGCCAACTGATGGAGGAGTGCAGCAACTCTGCAGGAGGAGTCGCTTAATAATTAATTTGGACTTTTACGCCATGCCAAGAAATTTTTACAAGTTTTAAGACTCTCTTGTGTGCAAGTGAAGGGCTGACGGGAGAAACACACACCAGCATGCACAAAGCACGCCGCTGTGGTTTTAGTTGGTCGGATTACTGCTGGGAGGCTTAACGGAAAACCATTTTAAATTTTGGGGTTCAGTTTTTTAGTGCATCTCTGTGTGTGTTTGCACCTGAAATGTTTTGCAGATTGCACAGGAGTGTGCTGAGACAGGCTCAGCTTCTGCGTGGTGTCAGCAGGAGCACGGCTTTGCCACGGAGGGCTTGTGCTACTTTCCGCACACACGAGCAGTGTCTTGGTGGGTTTAGCTGTAACCTTTTAACCCGGTTTGCGCATGCCTGGTTTTGTTTGTTTGTTTTTATGTTATCACAAATTTCGCTGTTAACCCCCTGAACACATATTTCTGAAATCACCAGAACTGCACTATGGAGGGACGCAGATGCATTTTAACTATGTGTGGCTGCGAGATCACTGCCTCTCTGCTGCTTCGTACAACTCCAAAACTAACCAGAGGAACCTGGACACTGGGAGCATAGATCTGACTATACGTCCCGAAAGGACACGAGTGGAAGAAGACCACCTTGTTATCACCTGTAAGTGGGGCACTATAAGTGCAACAGTGGGTTGCACAGGCGGGTGGGAGAGAACATGATGAAAATTGACTTTAAATTGTGTGAAGAACTAAGACACATTGTTGAAGTGCAACTTAGTATTATTTTTTGAAGGATGGCCATCATCTGTTTTCTAAATGGAATCTTCATTCAATGTGGCCATTTCTGTAAAACAAAATAGTTTGGAAATAACACATTTTCTTTAGTTAAATTGCATTAAAATGGCACATGCTAAACGCAGGAGCAAGGTTATTGAAACTCAACTAAAACTGAAGCTAAACGTGTAAAAACATTTTAGTTTTTTTAGTTTTTATTTATTTATTTATTTATTTTCACAAATAGTACATAATTACATAACATAATACAGTGTACAATTCAAAACCAAAAAATAAACAAACAGACAAACAAACATATAACAAACAAACTGATAACTAAACACACAAAAAAACAAAAACAAAAAAAACAAAAAAAACCCAGCTCAGTTCCATTACAGTTTAAACACTCAAGAGAATCCTTGTAACATAATATTAGAAACATCAGGTTCCACATAGTTCAAGTATGGTTCCCACACCTTAAAGAATTGATCTGTTTTTGAATGCAATATACATGTAAGATATTCCAGTGGCACTAAATCCAACACTACTCTTTTCCAACCTTTAATAGTTGGTACTTTTTCATAAATCCATTGGAGTAGTATATTCTTCCTTGCCGCATAGGTGAGAACACAGTACAATCTCCTATTATTCTTGGATATTAATCGCCGGCTGGGGAGGCCCAGTATGAGAGACAGAGGGTCCATCTCCAATTCACAACCGAAAATCTTCTCCATTTCAAATAGCACATTAGACCAATATTCTTGCAATTTCAAACATGACCAGAAGCTGTGAGTTAGGGTACCAATTACTGTCTTACATTTAAGGCACATGGGTGAAAGGGTAGGATTATATTGATGTCTGCGAAACATAGATATGTGCATTCTATGTATAATTTTTAACTGTATTGCTTTGGTACGATTACAAACTGATATTGATTTGGCGTAACTCCAGACATCTTCCCACTCCTCATCATCAATTACTATACCTAATTCCTTTTCCCATTTGCCTTTAAGCCTCTGTGACGTCCCTGAGAGTACAGAATATAAAGCCTTATAAAATATCTTCACAGGTACCTCTTTGTCTGTTAAAAATAATAATTTTTCAACAGGAGAGACTTCATGACTCTCACTAAAGTTAGTACTATGCAAAATATAATGCCTTATCTGTAAGTAACGGAAAAAGTCATGCTTGGGGAGAGAATATTTCTCAACCATTTGGTCAAATGGCATAACTACATTATCGGAGAATAAGTCCCTCAGTCTCTGAATTCCTTTGTTCTTCCATTCCTTAAATCCTATATCAAACATCCCCGGTTGAAAGTCAAGATTATTCACAATAGGAGTAAACATAGATGTTAGCTTCAACCTTCCCTCAATTCGACATACAAAAAAAACATTTTAGTTAACTAAAACATAAAAAAATATTGAAAAATCAAAAATTAAATGAAACAATTAAGTAAACTACAATAAAAATATAGAAGAATCGTTCTTCGTTTTAGTGTTAGTTTGGTAAAAATTGTATTACAGCTTGTCTGATGGGGGAGCTGATAGACATGTTTATTGAGACTAGATGTGTACAAGGCTGGCAAAACTTTCCATGCAGTAAACACTAAACTAAAACAAGAGAATCCATCTCTGGAAACTTATTGAAACTAAACTGAATTTAAAACAAAAATTCAAATTGAAATAAAAAAAAAAAATCTAATTAGAAAAAGCAAAGCTATAACAACTGCCCAGGACCGGCTCGTCTGAAGTTCTCTGCACAGCCAAATATACTGTAGTGGTCTTTGCCCCCTGGCACATTGTATTTGTGTAAAGATTTACTTCATGTGCAGGTACAGTAAGGCTTAGGGTGTAATTATCCAAAGGAGAAAAACATAGACAGTTTTAGTTATATACCATAAAATTGATTTACACGTACAGGGAATGTTGCCTAAGCTGGCTTTAGATAGCAGCCTTTATCAGCAGTCACTGTTGTAATAATAATATTCTGTCTCAAACTTATGAATAACGTGTTCATAATCTGCTTCGTGAGCCACCATTATCTTTATTGCCGCTCGTCCATTTCAACATAAAACACACCCACTTTGGTGAAAACAACCACTCCCCGTTGCCACTACGGTGGACCACAAGGGACAGTAAGCACGGAGTGCAAACATTATCAGCAATACAACATCTCCCTTTTTTTTTTTAGATGCCCACCAGTGACACAGCTGGTATACATTTCAAAATAGAACATCCCGAACCTGAGGATAAGGAACAGTTTTTCAACACTGCCATGTGTAAAATTACTGGGGCATAAAACTAACACCAACAATGCAATGCGGGATATGCACTCATTAGTACATGGACATTTGACATGTTTCCATTTTTTTTTTTTTTTTTTTTTTTTTTTTTTTTTTTAGGGCAGCGATCCGCCTACACCCTTTACAATCACAGGTCAAGAATAACCCTCGGTTTGACCACTCGTCCTGATCTGGTGGTCAGTGCAGGGCTAGTGTCCATGGTTGGTGTTTTAGTGTCTCTAGATGGCGACAGGGGCTCTGCTTGTTGCTGAGCTGCACTATCTGGCTGGGTGACCAGATCGGATGCTGGTGCTGAAGGTGCCGGTGACGCCTTGGCGCCTCTCAGGTGCCGTCGGTTACGCCGTATAGTCTGTCCCTCGCCAGTGCGGATCACGAAAGAGCGGGCAGTCTCTGCAGGTTGGATGATGACAGCCGGTTTCCAGGCTCCGGACTCGTGCTGAAAGCGAATGTGGTCCCCCTGCTGCAGCCTCGGTAGTGGTGTGGCGCTGCGATTGTAGTAACGCCTCTGATGCTCTTGTCTTTCCATCCGTGTTTTTTGCACAACCGTCGGGCTTATGATGCGAGGTACCAGGTGGCATCCGGTAACAGGAAGCACTGAGCGTAGACGTCGACTCATGAGGAGCTGCGCGGGTGACCTGAAGCTGTCGACTGGCGTGTTCCTTTGCTCCAATAGGGACAGGTAGGGATCTACTCCCTGAGCATGAGCTTTATCCAGAACTGATTTGGCCGTCTTGACTGTTCTTTCGGCAAGGCCGTTGCTTTGCGGGTACAAAGGACTTGAGGTCGTGTGGACAAAGTCCCATGTGACTGCAAAATCCTTGAACTCTCGAGAGCTGTATTGTGGGCCGTTATCTGAGATAAGCGTCTCTGGTATACCATGTCTGGCGAATATGGCCTTGAGCTTTTTGATGACGGACCCTGCAGTGGTAGAGAATAGCCTTTCGACCTCAAAGTAGCGGCTGTAGTAGTCCACAACTACCAAGTAGTCCCGTCCACGCCATGTGAAGAGATCTGAGGCCACTGCCTGCCATGGCCTCTCAGGGATCTGGTGTGGGATGAGAGTTTCTTTGGGATTCGCCGCGCGCCTCTCCTGACATATGGAACAGTTTTCCACCGTGGCAGCTATGTCCTTGCCCATGCCTGGCCAGAAGAGGGCGTCCCTTGCTCTCTGCTTACTCCTCTCAATCCCCATGTGCCCAGTGTGGATTCTCTCCAGCATGTTGTTTCTTAGGGCTGTTGGCACTATAATTTTGTCACCTTTGAAGATGATGCCATGGGAGTGTGAAATTTCATCTCTGAAAGTCCAGAAGTCCAAAAGGGTTTTGGGGCATTTTTTTCTGTCCTCAGGCCAGCCATCCTGCACAGTTTGCTTCAGCAGGGTGAGCTGCGGGTCGCATCCTGTTGCAGCCTGTATCTCTGAGAGTTTTTTGTCACTTACTGGGAGGCTGTTTATCACCGAGTGGATCTGGTCCTCCATGCCTTCACTCAGCGTGCTGTCTTGGTCGGGCAATGGTTTCCTGGACAGTGTGTCGGCCACAGGTATGTCTTTTCCGGGCCGGTGCACGATCTCTATGTCGTATCTCTGCAGCTGTAACAGCATGCGCTGCAGACGAGCAGGGGCTACAGAGATTGGTTTCTTCAGTATGTGCTCCAACGGCTTGTGGTCCGACTCTACGATGACTCTCCTGCCGTATATGTACGTGTGGAAACGCTTGCATCCAAACAGCACTGCAAAGAGCTCTTTTTCGATCTGTGCATAGTTGACTTCTGTTAGGGTCAGTGTCTTTGAAGCATATGCTATTGGATGTCCGTCCTGCATTAACACAGCTCCCAAACCATACTTTGATGCATCTACCTGTAGCCGTAGCTCCTTGGTCGTGTCGTAGTATGCCAGTATGGGGCCTGGTTCTCTGGTTATGAGATCTTTCATTTGCTGGAAGACTCTGTCGTGGTCTGATCCCAGATGAACTCTGAGTCTTGTTTGAGCAGCTGACGCAGCGGTGCGTTCACCTCTGATAGTCGTGGTGCGAATCTGGACAGGTAGTTCGCCATTCCAAGGATTGTCTCAAGCTCATTCTTATTCTCAGGAGGTGGCATGTCCTTTATGGCCTGCAGTTTCTTTGGGTCTGGCTGGATGCCCTCCCGGGTGAGTTTGTGTCCAAAGTAGCTCACTTCTGTGGCGCCTATGACACATTTCTCTGGATTGAGACGTACTCCTCGCTCCCGTGTGCGCTCAAGCATGGCACGGAGGTTCTCGTCGTGTTCCTCCTTTGTCCTGCCAAACACGAGGATGTCATCCACGATGGCTGCCACTCCATTGAGCCCTTCATACGTCTCATCGATTTTCCTTTGGAAAATGTCCTGTGCTGATATTATCCCAAAAGGAAGGCGCAGAAAACGGTACCTGCCAAAGGTCGTGTTGAAGGTGGTGAGGAGCGATGACTTGGTGGTTAGTTGGATGGCCCAATAGCCTGAGCGAGCATCCATGACACTGAAGTACTGTGCTCCTGCCAGCTTTGGTGTGATGTCATCCAATGTTGGAAGCGGGTAATGAGGTCTTTTGATGGCTTTGTTTAATTCGC